GCTGCAGCAGGGCAGTGGCAACCATGAACTGCTGTGTGGCACTCGTGCGTTTGTCATTTGGTGGCAGGCTGTGCGTTTGTGGCTGTTGTCAGCCTGTGTTTGCTACAAAACCCTTGACCAAGGATCGCAGCCATCGTGAGATACCTATCCCAACAAGTAGCTCAGCCCAGCAACTGGACGCCATGTTCGACAAATGTAACCATAACAGTGGTGCCTGGCTTGCAGTGCACCCTGGATGCCGCAGTGCACAGTACAGTACACATAGTTTTTGGTATTTCTGGTATGACTTCTTGCATGTACCAGTACTCTTAATTGTATCTGGAGCGTAAATGTGGTGTTCATTTTCCTGAAGTGGTTGCTTTGGTAGTAATGGATGCTATCTAAACCCCAAGGCCGAACTGCCCAGAAAGCCACAACTTTAACAACAGAACAGCAGCAGTAGTGTGTTGTCTGTGTCTGTGCTGCAGATACAGTGATCGCCATGGCCCCCCGAGGTGCCCCGCCCAAGCACGTGTCCAGCATGTCTGACCCGGAGCCCTCCCCGGAGGATGAGGAGCTCAAATTTCGCCTACATCCTGATGCATCGCCCCTTCAACGGAGACTCACTGAGATCCTCCAACAGCGGCTGCACGTGCCCGACATCGTGCTCCTGATTTTGTTCTCTGTCCGGCCCCGTGTGTGGGCTATGCTGGTCCTGTGGTTTGCACTGTCCCCAGTGATGGCCAGGATGGACCTGGGGCCAGTGTACATCCTGGGCACCCTGTTTGCGGTGATGCTGTGCAACCTGGGGCAGCGCAAGGAGGGCGAGGCCAGCGCATACACGTGGTTCAACAACTTTCAGCCCCTGCCGGGCAACCTGAATGCTGACATGATCGACAACCAGCTTAGGCGGGGTCAGATGTAGTTGCCAGGGAGGGGCTGTGGCGAATGTGTAGTCACGCCTAATGCATTGGGGGCTTGTTTAGGAATATGGCATTGTGGAGCGTCGGATAAGTGAAGGTTCTTGCAGTTCTAGCAGTTTTGAGGTTTTACGCTCATTTCTTGGAGGCGCAATGTTTGGGATGGTACTTGTTGAGTTGTGTCTCTGGGAGCGAATAGATGGTTAGAAAATGGATGGTATTTGATCCTTTCAGTTTAGCAGAAACTCGTGCCGTGCCCAGTGGATCACTTCGGACGTCGCCTTTATTGACAGTGCATTCGCTCTGACCGCAGTTGCGATCGCTCGACGGCCACGTGCCAATCCCAAACCCATTGGGCGGCCTGCACGCAGATGACCGGGCTGACCCTGCTCTAAATCTGGCTTAACTCATAACTCATAGTGCTGTGTTTGAAACCTTCAGGGATCTTGCCTTCAATTCCAAGGTTTGCAAGTGGAAGAACGTTGTGCAAATGCATGGATATATGCTCTGGTTAGGGTGTCTTGTCCGTGAAGAGGTCTGTGGCGAAGTTGTGGGCCCTTCTCGAAGCTTCGCGGGACTGTGACCAAATGAATGAATGAATGTATCCCTAGAACCAACGAGAAAATGCGTCAAGTTGGTCATGTCACAGCTTGTACTGCACCCACATGTACTGCACCCACATTGTCAGGCAGCGTCTGACCCCTATCGACCTACAATGGCCTCACAGTGCCTGGTAGAAACGCCCCAATCCTGGCGCCATCAGCACACGTGTGCGCAGGACCACAAACAGGAGAAGCAGCCGTAGCTACCCAATGTTTGTTCAGATACCCTGTGCAACCGCCATCCATCCTGACGTTCAGCGTCTTAGTCAACCGCCTTGCCACCCTAGTAGAGTGGCCAACACGAGAACCTAGACACAAGCAAGCCCGCCCAATCCAGCATCGGCTACAGCGCCACGGCCCTCCCGTTCGTGCGCCAAAATATCTTCACTCCCACGAACTTCACCTTTTTTTTCGTGCGCTTGGTTTTGCAAGGATATCTGCATGATGAGAACCTGCAGTTGGGACACTCACCATTTGAACAACTCTATTGTTGTGCAACTCGGATCGGAATTGAAAGCCAGGACTGTAGTGGTAGCAGCTCTCTCTCGCTCTCCCCGTTTCTCACTATTCCATTTGTGTTGTTGGTGAAGGGTCCCGCTGCTGGTGGCCAATGCTCTGTTTTCGTCTGTGAGTGACAAGGACATGTGTGACGTGTTCTGCACGTTGACTGTGCTTAAGTGATGAGGTGGCATGTGACTTGCCATACGGGCATTCGCGACCGGAGAAAGGCCAAGTACACAGTACAGAAAAGAAGAAAGCTGTTTGGGCTTATCACCACTGCAGGCCAGGAAATTTGTGCCCGAAGTTTGAGATGGACTGATTTGTGAGGCTGAGCTCCTCATGGGGGCTGACCTGTAAGCTCTCTGTTTGGCGCAATCGGACTCATCCATGGCGTGGGGGCAGCTGCACTTTCAGTGTACGTTCAAAGGTGCAGCATGAGCCGTCGCTAAAATGGCGTCCCCCAAAACGACGCAATCCGCTCCCCATACCCGTGATCGCTACCAGAACAGTGGTTGAAGATTCAGCAAATGCTGAGAGCGCCTTCATCAGCGGGTGCTACTGCACCGGCGGTGCTGTACGGGAATGGCTCTCATTGGCTGCCGCCACGGCAGTGCCGTGTTGCCTTACTAAGGCTGCATTTGCAGATTAGCACTGGTGCTACTGTTCCCCTGCGTGCATCCATAATGGTGGTTGCCATCGGCATGGAATTTTGGCCATGTACCATGGGCCGTTCCAAAACACCACCTGCAATGTTATGGGCTAATAACACCCGGTGCTGTTCTGGGGCGCAATTTGAAATCGAGCTGTGCTATTTGGGGCCGAATTGCACCGCTTGGGGCCGAATAAATCGAATCAAATCGAATCAAATCGAATCAAATCGAATCCAATCGAATCAAATCGAATCCAATCGAATCCAATCGAATCCAATCGAATCCAATCGAATCAAATCGAGTCCAATCGAATCAAATCGAATCAAATCGAATCCAATCGAATCCAATCGAATCCAATCGAATCAAATCGAATCAAATCGAATCGAAGCGGTGCGCTATTGCAGCCCACGACCGTTACTGATGGCTCTGTCGACATGCGGTGCTTTGCAGCTCACCGAATACCACCGCTGGGACAGTGGCACCAACGGATAAAGATGCTCTGAGTGTGAGAATTGCCGTCCATCCAATTCCAAATCTTGGGTCATTTTTCCACACCGAACATCAGTACATCCCTCGGGCGATGAGGTTCCATCGCATCAGCCCTCACCAGTGACAGTTCTTGGACCGCGGCGCAAACCCCCATGTGTGAGACGCCCCTTTCCCGGGTGACCCACCACAGATTCTCACCAAACGCCGCGATGTCACCGCCCCTGATGGGTGCAATTCATCCTCCTTTCCCACCAAGCGGCACAACTCCAGAGACTTCGTGTACCCGCCGCCGTGGGCGAGAACGCCTCGCCAAAACTCTCCCGGCAATTCCCTCACGCGATGCCCCACAGGGCGTCACATTTCCCTGCGCCCCTTGTTCCCAAATCCGCCCCCGGAACTGCGCGAAGAGGGTGGCAAATAACACCCTTTCACACAGGGGATTCTCCCAAGCACGTGCCTGATCCTGTTGGCCCAAAGTACCGCCCAGCCAGCCCGGAAATCATCGGAAACCATCTGGCAAGAGCGCCCCACACATCCACGCCGTCTTGCTCTTGCCCCCCCACTCCCTACGGGACACCTACCCACCATGTACTCCCACCCCACACACGCAACCGTTACGCAACTCCCGTCTGCGTCCGCCCACGCCGATGCACGCGCCGCTGTTGCCGCCGGCACCACATGTCCGACATACAGCGCCAAAGTACTGGGCCGCCCGAGGTTTCTTTTCGACCCGGCTTCAAGAGGGTGGTGAGCGCGGGGGCTGGGGGCGATCGAGTGGTGGCGACCGGGGCGCTGTGGCTCGCGGGGCGCGGACTGTCAAGTCTGCTGCCACCCGCGAACCACAAAGCCGCTTCCGCCGTGCCCATCGCTCGTTGCAATTCCACCCAATCCACACACACCGCATTCTGCCATCCCTTTGGCCTGCCTTGCATTTGCCGCTCGCCGGTTGACTGGCCACACTTTGGAGGCTAAGTGCCGGGCGACGGGGTTTTGTGGGGTCGGTTGATCGATTCGGAGACCGCGTGGAGGGCAAGAGGGGCAAGAGAGGAGGGCGTTACGCTGGGTGACGGACCCGCGTGACGGTCGCATGCGCGGCGCGGGCCGGGCGCGGCCGAAGGAAGGGTTGCTGTGCGGCCGGGCGGTCCGGGGACTGCTCGCGGTCGGCTGAGAATAACGAACGGAGGAACACAGGGGAGCGAAAGAGGGTTGCTTGCGGAGGCGGGAGCGGCTGGGCGGAGGGCGCGGCCGGGCGGAGCGGGAGTGGCCTGACGCGGGGCGACCCGAGGGTTTAGCCGAGGAGGGCGCGGGCGATCGACCCGGGCCGCATTCTCGATCCCTAGCCACGGCACAGCGCATCAGGTGGGCCTCTGAACGATCCCTTCCGATCATTCCGACCTCGTCGAGGGTTCACTCGCAGAGGTTCTCGCCCCTCGTGTCGGCATCCCTCGCCTGCGTTACGCGCCCAGGAGTGACGGCGGCCTGCGCGTCGGTTGTGCGCGCAGGGGCGGCCATGGCGACGATCCTGGGACCGCAAGTGCCCGGCTCGGCGTTCCAGTCTCCGCCCTACGCTTACCACGGCCAGATCAACGCCTCCGGCTACCTCCCAGAGCCCTACCCCGCCCCACCCCACACCTACCCGCCACCCCAGCGCTGGCTGCCCAACTACCCCCATCCCCCCACCCCCTACGCGGCGCCCCACCTTTCGGGGCTCCAGCATCGCCTCCCCGTGCCCTACTACCACACCCAGGTGTTCCCTCCCACCCCCTCGTCCGCCCCGTACTACCCGGGTCACCAGGTCCTGCCATTCTCCCTGCATTACCCGCACTGGCCATTTCAGGGCAGCAGCCCCAGCCCTGATGGGCACAGGGGCGGGACATGTTTCAATAAGCCGCGCAGCCCGGATGGCGCGCCCGCGAGGCGCCGCGTGTCCAGGCGCACGAAGTCGGACATGTCTCGCGGTGGCTGGGGATCGAGGGGAGGTGCCCAGAGGGCGGATGGGCGTGATGCGATCGGAGGGCTGGCGGGCGACGGGCACCACAGGAGGAACAGCTGGGACAGCGGCGGGGATGGCCGGAGGAGTAGAAACGGGTCGAGGAACGGCGGCAGGGGATGCGGGACGCGGTCGCCATGTAACACAAGGAATGGAGACGGAAGGTGGGTGTATGTGGGGGTGAGGGGGTGAGATTTGCTGCAAAGTGAGAGAAAAACGGGTGATGAAAAGGGTGCCCCCTGCTAAGCCAGTGTGTGCGAGACTCTTTTGCGTGCTGTGAAGCAATGATGTGGAGCCTCCGTTGCAGGGGGTTGCTGGGTGGCTGTGCGGTGCACGCACGCTCGTCGCTCGCCTGAGCCTGGGCGTCGGCCGCGGCGATTAGACTGGGAATTGGATCTCGAGGCGGTCTTGTTGCGAGTCTCTCGGCGCTGGGCCACTGGGCGGTGCGGCTGGGGAAAGGGGGGAGGCCGGGGTTGGGGGGAAGGTGTGCTTCGCGAATGTCGCACACCCGATGTGGAATTTGCTTCTGACGTTGCCGACGAGGCTGGAGGGCTTGGGGATGGGTAGAAGACCGGTGGCCGACCTGCCATGTCGTTGCGATTGCCGCGGGGCATGGGCGCCGTGCTCGGTCCACCACGCCGTGTGTGCTCCCGCGGCTTTGGGACGCTCAGCTGGCGTCCGGGAAGGTTTGTAGTGCCGACCGGGGGACGGGGCGTGGCGGGCGCGCACACGCGCTCCTGACGTTTACGGTACGTCCGTTGTTAATGCGGAAGTGCAGCCGGCGCGTGGGACCCAGGCATTGCCGCGGAGAATGCGCTCCTGACCGCCTTGGCGCGGACGCCGCTTGCAGGGCCGGCCCGGCCGGACTGCGATCGGCTCCCCTCGAGCCGGTGTGGCCGCCCGATCGCCGCGGTTTCCCGGAATCGGGTTTCCACACAGACCCGATCGAAAATGCTTTGGCGAAAAATGGCCCCAAACGAGGCTTTACTCCGTGGCCCACGGCGCTGACCACTCGAGCGCCGTGAATTGTGCGTGAATGTTGCGCCGCTCTGTGCGTCAGACCCCACCCCACCCCACTGAGGCGATTGAGCGACCGGCGCCGGCGGCCATCGCGATCAGGAGAGGTCGCAACGTGTCGCGTTGAAGAAGCGGTCTGAGGCGTCCATCTTCTGTCGCCGTTGGCCGAAGATCGAATGCGCCATCCGCCGCGCCCGCGCGAACGCGCCTTCACCTCCGCAAGCAGCCGGCCAGAAAGGGCGCGGACTTGTGTTCTCGGGTGTCTAGGGCTTCCCTTTTCCACGCGATGGCAACTGCGCGACAGAGAAGTCGACCCATTTTGGTCGACTGCCCTTTTCCCCCTCTCCAAGGAAAAGCCCAGACGCCTGCCCCGAACTACACGGGGACGTTCCGTTTTGAAAAGAACTGTCCTCTCTAAAAGAAACTTCCTTGATGACAAAGTCCCCTTTTGGGTCCCCTTCTTTCTGCCTTTCGAAAGCACATGCAAGACAAAGATTCGACCTGCGTTAATCGATTGGCATCTCCCTTGCAGGCTGCAGCGAACCAACAGGCAGCACTCGAAACAGCAGACCAGCATAAGGGGGGGCGTGACCACGCCCGCCCTCCCCTTCACCTCCAAGCGCCCCTCCGAGCCCCGCCTGAGGCGCAGCGTGACGCCCGATGAGGACATCACCTGCTCCAAGGCACTGAGCGCCTACAGCGAGGTGGCGGACGGTGCCCTGGAACTTCGCCCGGCCAGGGGGGCACTGGGCAGGGGGAGGGCCGGGAGGGCAGTAGCGCAGCCGCACTGCTTGAGGATGGCCCTAGCATCAGCGCAGGGTGGGTTGGACAAGGGATACATGCCAGAGCTGACGGGGAACGGGACCGGTGGAGCCTACTTCATCCGCGCCAAGACAGGGGACCCCATCGCGGTGTTCAAGCCAAGAGACGAGGAGCCACGCGCCTCGAATAACCCGCGTGGCCTGGCGGCCGCCGCGGAGGCCGGGAAGGGGCTCAAGAAGGGGGTCAGGCCAGGGGAGGGGGCGGGCCGGGAGGTGGCGGCGTACCTGTTGGACCACGGCCACTTCGCGGGCGTGCCGCCCACGCAGCTGGTGGTCTGCAGGTCCAAGAATAAAGTGACGCAGGAGTCTCGGCTGGGCAAGACTGGGGAAGGGGGCATCAGCAAGGTAGGGGGGACATGGACCCACACAAACTGCCTTTTCCAGCACTTGACTATTCATTGCCATTGCTCCCTAGTTTGGCTGGACCTCAGTTTTGGAACTGTGATAGATCCTTCACCTGTTGTTGGCACGGGCTGGTCACTATCGTGAGCGTGGCAATACTTGTTGTTTTAGGCCACAGTCCTGCCTTGTGTGGGCAAGGCAAAGGCAAGCCAGGGGACTGGGAAGGAAAACTGTCTGTTGCCAATGTTCATGGTCTTGTTCCTTCAGGTGGGCAGTCTCCAGAAGTTCATCCTTTCAGATGCGGACTGTGAGGAGATGGGGCCGGCAGCATTTTCCAAGTCCCAGGTGCACAAGATCTGTGTGCTCGACATGCGACTGGCCAACGCCGACCGGAACGGGTCCAACATCTTGGCCTGCCGGATGGAGGACGGCTGGGAGCTCACGCCCATCGACCACGGGTACTGCCTGCCTGACACCCTCGAGGACCTGTGCTTCGAGTGGAAGTACTGGAAGCAGGCAAAGGAGCCGTTTGACGAAGCTGCACTCAAGTACATTGCCAAGTTGGACGCCAAGGAGGATATCCGCACCCTGGAGCAGCATGGGATCAGCCTGAGGGAGGGGTGCAGGAGGGTGTTCAGGACGTGCAACTCTCTGCTGAAAAAGGCGGCCGCGCGCGGGCTCAATCCGCACGAGATCGCCAGCATCATGTGCAGGGAGGCCTTTGAGCCGTCGCCACTTGAGAGGCTGTTCAACGCAGCCCTGGGGAGCTTCAAGGGTGAGGCCGTCGATGAGGATGTGCTGATTTCTGCCGTGGACAAGCGGATCGACAGGTACCTGGATGGGCTTGACCGCAGAAGGAGGAGGTGAGGCTGTCCGTTGAAGGTCTGGTGCTGAGGGACGACCGGTGAACTGCGGCGGATGGCGTTAAGGAGTTCTGAAAGCAGGGGTGCAAGACCGACTACCTATAGGTGTAGATGTGGGCTGGTAAAGGGGTGGCAATGGGGCCTCGGCACGCACTCGTCGCAGGGAAGGCGCTGGAAACATAGGAGCTTGCATGCGCTTGGCGAGTGCGTGGGCCCATTTTTCCTTTTAGGCGGCCATTGTCGCCGAAACTCTGGGATTTCAGGGTTGTGTAACATTGCTGGGGAGAGGCTATCTGAGGGTCTAAGAGACCTCCCCGATCCTGATCATGTTCAAACGGGCTGGGAGGGTTTGGTAGTGGGGGCGGGGTGGGGTGGGGAGGGGGTGCGGCCCTGGACGCTGTGCCCTCGTCTGTACTGGCAAGGGGTTTTGGATTCAGTTGAAGGGTTGTGTGTGTGACAGTTTTCTGACATGTCATGTGGACACGGAACTACCTGGCGTGAATTGATGGTTGTGGGCGTGGAAGGGGGTCTCATTGTGGATTCCCGTTCGCTGCCCCACGTTCTCGAATTCGCTGCAGAACCCGTTCAAGGGTTGAGTAACGGGCTTGCGAGGATTGAGAGCATCAGTCTCAAAAGAAGCAGGAATTGCTGGCCCAGTCTTGTGACTGGCCGGGCTTACATGGTTGACTAACGATTACCGACACTTGTAAAATGAGTTGGGGAGGCTACGGAGGGGGTGCGCGAGCCGTGGGGCGACTTGACGTGACAGGAACCGGAGGCCGAGGCGCTCGCGGCTCAGGGGTCGTTTAGCGAGCTGTTGACGATTGGTAGACTTGTAGACCATGAACTGTCGCTGCAAGGTCAGGGAAAAAGCCAAATCAACAAAAAAGATGCGGAAGGGACGGAATGATGGTGCTCTCAGTCCCACGAGGGTGTTTTTTTTGCTGCTCCCCCAGGTTTTTTACACAGCAGGGGCATTGGCTGTGGCTAGGATTGCCTGGGTCTGTTGTGTTGTGTGTCTCGGGCACGCGGCCTGCGTGGGGCTGACGCGTGTTGGGAGGGGCGTCGGATTTGTATTCTGGACAGGGTCTTGGCTCGTGCTTGCTCAGGGGCACATACCGCATACACACACACCACACATCATGTTGGCGGGCGGGGGATGGGTCGCTATTGGTGACCCAGTTGGTGGCGTGATTTTTGTTCTGCGATTCGGCCCCCCTTGTCTCGAGGGAGGGGGGGCGGGGAGGGCGGTTTATGGTCTCGTGCTTCTTAAGGAATCCACCCACCATTGGGCGATGATCTGTGGGATCGGGCCTGCGCCAGCCTGGCCCCGGGGCCGGGCCTGGCGCGCCCTGCTGACAGACGTCATTCTCTTTAGCTGGGCATAATTACCGAATTAGGATCACCAGAGTGTTAGGCTGTATAAAGCGCGGAAGGCGGCGGTTTCGGGGGTGATGGGCCGTTGTTGCCAATCGGGTTCTGGCTTCGTGTAAGAGTAAACAACTGCTGGCTGTGCTGGAGAAACATTGCTGAGAACAGGATGGCTGGAACGGGTGGTGGCTCGAACACACACTGTGGCACCTGTGTCGCTGTGGGTGCCGCGACTGGTTGCGGACAGCTATTTCGCACAGGCGCGACAACCTGTTCCAGGTGTTGGATGTAACGCAGGTATAAGAGTTATAACGGTGGCTTCGTCGGCGTGGTTTCGGTTCTGCATAAAACTGGGGCTTTAATGCTGGGTGATTTGATGCCGTCGTCGCGGCTCTGCTTTCGCTGTGGCTGCTCTTGTCGTGGCCTGCGCGGCCCTCTCGTCGAGTCGCTGGTTGTGGGAATGGGCGGGGAAGGGAGGCCGGCGTTCCGCAGCGTGGAACATCTCGAAGACTTCTCATTCCCCCTCTCAACGAAGCTCTGCAGCTCGACGAAACCGCTCCCGGTGAGTCATGCGGTTCGTTTTTTGACTCTCCAGCAAATGAACGACCCCTCGGCGATTTGGCACACCACCTAGGGATTTTCGAGCGCGCGATGCTTGCTTCAACTTTCTTTGCCCGTCGCCGCGCGCAAGTTGCAAAGCCTTTGTTGTTGCCGCGGTGTCTGGCAACGCGCAGGGGAAGTCACTGTATCGATTTTGGCGTGCTCTGCATCGCATTCACAGCAAGCAGGGTGGTGGGCAGGCTTGGTGGGCTGCGGGCGGGGTCCACACCTATAATGGTAGGGCAGTGTGCCGCGGCAAAGTCAACGAGAGCAGGGATGAGGCCCAAGCGGCCTTTGGCACGCTCCAAGAGTACCTCGAGCGCTGGACTTCCCAAGAGTGCCCCCAAGCATCTTAACTGACAGCGTCCGAGGCTGGTCGCATCGCCTGCAATCGCTTCCAGCGTCCCTTTCAATCCGCCATGATCGTCACGGTGCCTGCCGTTCGCCTTGCGGACCTCCGCGCCCCTTGACAATTCGAAGCGATCTGCACTCCACTCGTCAAAAGCAGCCACTTTGTTCCAGCCACTTGGGCATTGCCACAGTGTTGGCGCTCCCTCGCACGTGCGAAAAAAATGCGTGGCTCTTTCGGTGCTGTTGCTGGGCACATTGCCACAAGGATGGGCAGCGTCAACTTGCCTTTACGAGTCATTTAAGTGCGTAACATGTACCAAAGCCGACATGATGGTTCCCCAAATCAGGAGAGGTCTTGTCACGCTCAATGCCAAATTGGCGCGGGAGTGTTTCGACTGGCGGCTCCAGAAGTTGCCCCTGAAGCCGACGTATACATTGGTCCATAATGGCTCGCGAAGGCTCGTGACGAAGCCAGGTAGAGGTTGAGACCAACCTTGCCACACAGCTCACTTCAAGACGCCGTTCCAGGGAAGAAATGGTCAACTAAGTACTGTAAAGTACTGAGCCTTGTCCCACACTTTCCAGCAATAATGCTGGACGCCTGAAAAGCTCCAACCTGCATCCTGCATTCCCATGTGAAGGGGACGCTCATATTCCGCCGAGCCGAGCTCCTTGTCCCGCCCAGGTCCACACACATACTGGACCAATACATTACGAAGACCACATTGTTTGTCCCAATACATCCCGAGGTACCCACAACTCGTGTGCCCAGTCGCTTCGCTAGAAATTTAGCCAGTCCCATATAATACAATACAAAATTATTTTTAATTACACTAGTAATTAAGTAATTACATATAATACAGTTCCATACAAAGACTCATCCCTGAGTCAGCCCCACCACTCTGTGTTCACTCGTCCTTAACTCCCACACTTTCCCAACCGAAACCGAACATCACCCTAATAGGGAGGGCCGGGCGGGAAGCGAACCAAGATGGAGTGAGGACCGAGGGGAGAGCCTAAATAGACTCCCCCGCTCGCGCCCGCCAAAGCCCGTCACTCCCAAGGGCGCCAAAAACCCCTGGCCCTCCTTGAACGCGACGAACTGGCCACTG